GTTGAATTTCCTAAAACTAAAGAGAAATAAATGTTAGAAGCGTGGGGTCTGAGTAGTTTAGTGGTAGAACATTCGCCCGGCAAGCGGAAGACCCGGGTTCAATTCCCGGCTTAGCCACTCGCGCCCTGATATTTTTTCTCTATTCCCTTCTTTCTAATAATTCCTATCAGTACATACTGATTCTCCATATGTGAGAACAATGTACTAAAATTTTCGTACACTTTAAGTATCTCGAACCAGAGATCGGTGTACAAATTTAACTGTCTCACGTAGACTAACAAATTAATTTCTTTAAGAAAAATTATAATTTCGCACTAACATCCCGCGACGGCTCTCTATGCCTTTCTATTATATTAATTGATTGTTATCATTTGAGCCATTCCTTTATATGTGTTAAATTATTTTATTTCTTCTTTCATGTCGTTTTGTATTTTGATTTATCCGATCTCCAGCATGTTGTAGCCAGTTTTTAATTACAGTTTGGATGGAATGGGAAGAAATACTCTTTCCACTAATACTGATGATTACATCTAGAAAAAATTCTGTTAATGAATTTTATATAATAAAAAGTTAAAATTATTAAAATTATTAAATTTTTATTTTTATTATATATTTACTATTTTCTAAAAAGATATTCAGAATATATTATATAAAAAATATATTCAGAATATATATTTCAGTATATTATACTCAGAAATTATTAATTAAGAAACGTAAAAATAAATAAATTAATTAACTAATTCTTGAACGTTAAAAATATGTAGTAAATAGATGAAAAAAATTTAATTGGAAATAATAATCTCTATAATAATAATAATGATTAAAATATTATGGAAAAATTACAACAAAAATATGTTATTAACTATTTCTTTTTTACATTTTATTAGATTACAGTACACAAAGTATCCAAAAAGTGACACAATTGGTGTGTAGTGGATGTCGGACGATAGAATTTAAATTTAAAAAACTTGAGTTTTTTTACAATATTTAATAAAGGAGATGTTATTAATCATAGTTTAGCTAATCTGCGCAACTCTGTAGATGAATATTATCTCTGTAAGTCACACGTTTGTTAGAATGCATAGCAAAGCATTAAGTACACTACTAAGTGCATAGCTCATACGTAATGTCCACCTTAAAAATGGTGCAGATTAGTTAAACTATGTTTAATATCATTTATATGACAATTGCTTATTTCTGGAACTTTGTGTATCTCTTTATATATTTTAAAATTTAAAATAATTTAACTAATTAATAAAATAATTTAATAAATTAATTTTACTTTTACTTTGAATTAATTTTTTTCCAATTTTTAATAATTTTTATCAAAAATAATAATTATATAATAATTAGTTAAAAGTAATAAATAAAACTATAAGAAAACAAAAATACCGATAATGACGTCAACAAATTTCATGTCTCTCGTTTGTATAGTATTTTTTTGTCCGGTCCATGAGAGTTTGTAAGCTGGATGATCAGTTAGAGTAAGTTTTAATGCGTTTCTTACATGTTGTTCCGCATCTTTTCCTCCTATAATTCTAATTATCCTTTTCTGTAACAAAATTTATATAATTTAACTTTTATACATGTATTTTTATTTTTAAATTTAATTGACAAAAAGTACTTACATATTGTGATAATGATACGGAGTCTTGTGTTATCAATTTATTAAATTCTTCTAGTGCCTCAGGTGTTCCAATCGGTAAATTCAAATTTATTGTGTTCTCTTGTGAAGAATATGGATGTATATCTAACAATAATTGTTAGATAGTAACCAATAATCGTGTAATTTTTTTAATGTCATTTTGACAAGCTCCTATTTAAGAAAAACAATGTGTGTGCGTGCGCGCGCGCGCGCGCGCGTGTGTGTGTATGTGTGTGTACATATATATATAATTATAAATATGTGTACATATATTATAATTAATTAATATATAGGAAGAGACAATAACTATTGCCACCTTGGATATTTTCGAAAGTATTAGAGTAGGAGAAAAATTTGCTTAACAGAAATTATATGATATAGAAGATATTCGAGAAACCAATAATTATTATTTTACCTTATATATAACTATAGTTAAATCATATTTATTGGAATATGAATTAATAAAAATTTATTTTTATACACTTACTACAACATAATTCATTATGAGATTCTTCTTTTCTTGTTGTATATTTTTTTCAATCTTTTGTTGATTGGTTTTATTAGGTGTTCCTAAATAACAATTCCTCCAAGTTTAGGTTATTTTACGTTTTACTTGGGCTATGTCACTTGGGCTATGTCACTTGGCGCGCACAACGCGAGCGTTTATTATTGTTTATTATCCTTGACGACCGTATCGAACTACCGGTTGTCATCGGTTCAAGAGCTCACTTACTAGAGACATCTATAAGTGGACATCATAAATTTTTTGAAAGACGTCTTATAAAAAGATAACTTATTGATATCATTTTTAAGAGATGTTAATGAGGTCTTCAAAAAGTCCTCTTAAAGAGCTCTTCCTCTTAATAATGCTCACTGAGTATAGCTATTAGCTAACGACACTTGTTCAATATTTTCAAATCGTTTTATAAACTGATCTTTTGATGCCTTTTTGAAACGATGCCCTATATCAATAGAAGGTTCAAATGTCTGTAATTTATTTCTTAAAATATTTACGATTGGAATTACTTTACTTACAGTAAGATAGTATT